CACGTCGTGGGGGGGGGGGGGGGGGGCGGATCTTGCGGCACATTTCAGGCCGGTGTGGATTGGGCTTGGGTTTGTTTCTTTCTCCCAGTCCCTTCTCCAAAATTCAAAGTCTCAACACCGTAGGCACAAATTTATATCTTCCCAAGGCAAGCAAGTGAATCCTCTGTTCTGCAAACATTCTGCAGGGCAGGCAGGAGAGGCTGCAACCAGATGGCAGACAGGGGCCCTCTGGGCTCACTTGGAGTATTGGCCCCTTCTGCAGCCGAGGCCACTGGATTTAGGTTTGCCACCCTTGAGGCATGCTGGGGCTCGGAGGTCACAGCTTAGGCTCTACCTGCCTCCAACTTCATCGCTCACCATCCTCTGCTCTCCTAGCCCTGCCCAGCCTGGCTCAGGGCCCCCTGGTGAACCTTTCAAAGGACCTAGGCCTTCTGAGTGGACAGCCATCTCTGAGGTTGCTGTTGGGCCTGTCTTCAGACACCTCCCAAATGCACTTTCTGAGGAAGGAGGTCTCTGAGGGTGACAGTGTAGTCCATCTCCATCCCATCCTGGCTCTACTTCCACAAGACACCCCCCCATACGGCTGCAGTTGTGGAGAGGATGACAGTGGGACCCACAGGACTCAGCACACATCCTGGCAGGGACGAGAGAGACAAAGGCAACCTGGGGGAAGGGACTCCTAGGTGTGAGAACTTGGTCCTGGGCTGTTTACAGCTCCCCAACTTGCTCTTCTGCCTGCCCAACACCACCCAAGGAATGCACGTCCTTCCTGGACTTTAAATGTCTTCATGAGTCCAACAGGCTGCCCAGAGTAGATTCAGCAATCAAGCCCAGGATTGGAGGGAGGGGCAGGCAAAGTGTGGGTCCCAGAACTGACGGTGGCTGGAAGCCTTCCAGGGCTCAAGGTTCAGCTGGACGGCTGTGGAAGGCAGAGAGCTGTCCCCAGGGAAGAGCAGTGAGCACAGGCCTTCCCACCCCCTGCTGGCTGCCCACCCTTAACATGTCCTGGAAAACCACACGCAGATTCTTCTACATGCTGAGGCTGCAGCCATTACTACACTCAATTAAGGAGGAAGAGGAGCCCAGTCATTCTTAATCAAATAGAAGAGTTTGTAGGTCAGGCGGCTACCCCAGGGCCTGAAGGGGGCTGTGGGCAGATGGCTGGGACCAGGGGTGGAGGGGCTTCCATTTGCTTTGCCTGTAAGTGTTGTGGGAAATACTGCCCACCCTGGCCCGTGGGAACAGAGAATCATCCTGGGTGGGCTCAGTTCAGAATGCCAGCTGCTCCCAGCCCCGGTCCCCTGATGAAGAGCCCCTGGGAAAAAGAAGTGTAAGGATACCCACCCCCCACTTTCCTGTCACCACTGCCTGGGCTTGTCTCCATGCCGACTTCAGCTTCCAGGAGCTGAGACAAGGTGTGAGCTGAGCTTGAGAGCTGGGGTTGCTCACTGGCTGAATGCCTCATGTGAGGCCCAGCATAGAGGCAGGACCCTTGGGGGCAGCCACTCCTCCCTGCACCTCCTTCCCTCCTCCCAGAGCCCCCTGCAGCATGGTCTTCCAGATGGGGTCCTGTGCATGGCAGGAGCTGGGGACACCTGCCTGGGATGGAGGTTGACTATGAAAATCATCTCAGTCTGCAGTAACCCTGGGGCCTGTAGTCATTGCCCAGGGAAGGTATCCAGCCCCTTTCTCTGCCCTCAGAAGACCAAGAGAAGGTCCCAAGACCCAGAGTTGTCCTCCAGGTGCTGGTGTCCACACCCAGTCTTTCAGACTTCCCCTCCTTGTGGCCAGATCCTCTTTGCTCCCAGAAGCTTCCTGGGCTGGGCTGACCTCTCCCACCAGGGCCCACAGGGCTTACTTGTTGTAGAGGACGATGTCAGGCCGCCAGATGAGCTCAGAGGGGATTCGGATGGAAGTGACATTCTCATAGTCACCAGGGTCCCAGCGCAGCTTATAGTCATGCCACTCCTGGGTGAGAATGGAGAGTCATGTGTGAGGGGGGCATGGGGTGGAGGGCAGGGCAGGGCAGCCCTCCCCACTCACCTGCTTCACCCACACATTTGTTGTCATCATCTGGTTCTTCTCGTCCTAGGACACAAGAGAGAAAGGAATTTCAGGTACCCTCTCAGTGACAGACATGTCTGTGCGCCAATCTCCCTACCCACAGCCACAAGTACAGAGGGACCAGGCCTAACTTCAGAAGGAAGGGAATGCCTCATCCCTGAAGGAAACCCAGTCTGGGATGGCAGCCTGAGGGGAACCTAGGGACAGGAGACAATGGCCATGGACCCTCTCCAGAAAGATACTGGGAACCAGCTCAGCTCCACCTGGACCCCAGGCTGCTTTTAGGCTGAGCATCATCCCCAGAACACAGAAAGTCATGCCTACCCACATCACACATGTTTCTTCCTCAGTGAGGCCTGGGGCAGTCCCTCTGCAGACCCACCCCATGTGCTGCTGCTCCTGTGGCCATCAAAGCCACTGGCCAGGAAGACCTTGTCCAAACTATCCTCCAGCACTAGGGTACATATCACAGGGAGAAACTGATGGCTCCACCTCAAGGTCATCATGTGATAATCAGCCCAGATGAGAAGGCCTGGGCCATACACTGCCCTGTGAGATTTCTGGCAGCTACTTCCCCAATCTACCCACCCTCCCCTCTGCCTTTGTTTCTCCTCTGTGCCATGGAAATGGGCCCATCTGAGACCTGTGCTCTGGGTGGTCAGTTCCCAGGACAGTCTGGACCCTGTGGAAAACAGCAAGGCCTGGTGCAGGAGCAGGGGTCTTTGGGGGACAGAAGCCCCTCAGTGTCCTCACGTACCCTCTACAGGTGATGAACGGTGACTCAGGAAGCCATAGCCACACTCTGCCCACTTAGCACCCATGGGAGCTGGGACTTCATGTCCATAGTGTGGGGAGCAGCACTTTGGGTTTCCTAGATAGCCTGAAGGTCTAATATTGCAACATTTGGTGCTGGGCAGTGTGTTGGGCAAGATGAGCTTCCCACTTTTGGTGGCCAGCCTTTTCCCTCAGAGGCCCCAGGATGACAAACAGACTTTTCTGGCAATCTAGCCAAGGAGACCCCAGGACATCCAGCAAGAAAATGCCTTGCCCAGAGGAAGGTGGGTAAGGAGGAGGCTTCTGCTTCACAAAACCATCACTGGTTGGCAAGTAGGGGGTGCATCCCCTGAACACCCAGTTCCAGCCCTGAGTCCTCTCTGGTAGAATTACCCAGGAGGTCACCCAGCTGCCTGAGTGAGTCCACTCCCTGGCAGAACACCAAGAAGAGGGTGGGATGAAGAGCACAGCACGTAGCCAGCATGAGGTAGCCTCATCAACCTCATCTCCACACGACCCTGACCCATGCAGAAGAGAAGGTTGCTTCTTTCATCCCATGGGCCTCCAGGGTTCTCAGAGTAAGCCTCACCACGGCTGGGCTGGGCCCCAGCATCCCTCCTAGTTCCATATGACCATCACTCCCCAGGTGCCCTTGGAGCCAGCAGACATGTCACAGAGCTCTGCAGCACATTTCACAAGGATTCAGCATCAGGTTAGGAAACCACTGGGGATTCAGCAGCCTTCTCTGCAGCTGATGCTGGGGTGTGAACTCACACACAGCATGCAGTCCCCCTCCTGGATACAGAGCCTAGAGAGGAAGTTTGCAGTAGATATAGGAACTCACAAAGGGGGCAGGCCAGGCATGGGTGGGAGCACCTGGATCCAAGCCCCTGGTGGGATAAGATAGAGCAGGCCAGACACAAGGCAGTCCTTTCTACCCACAAATGCAGCCATGAACCTCCAGCCAGGGCCAGGGACTGTCTGTGTGCATGTGTGTGCATGTTCGCATATGGCCCTAGCCAGCTTAGGGCAGAGGTCAGGATTGGATGTACTTCCTCATGGAAATCTTGATTCCTGGTGTGCTCTGAGCCTTAATGTCTCCTAGGGCAGAGGGGCAGCATCAGATTGAACCTGACAGGCTCAGACAGGCCTGGTGGTAGCAGACTCAGAGCCTTGAGTTGCGGCAAACAGTCACCTCTGCCAGCCACCACTTTGTAATCATGTTTGCAAACCTCAGCAGGGTTGAGGGGCTCATACATCTCGCACTGTCCTTTTCGTGGGCCCCAGCCAAGGACGCTTCGGGAACCATTTGAGGGCCAAATGCCAGACCTTCTGAGAGTGGAGGTCTGAGTGGCTCCAGATAGGGCCTCCTGGCAAGGGTCTCTGTGTCCAATCCCACGCATGCTGGAGCCCTGAAATTCTGCTGACTCTGTCCAAGATGGCTGTTCTCAGCTCACTTTGGGCAAGCACATGGAGGATCACCCAACATACATAGTGCCAGCCTAGAGCCAGCACCTCACCTTGTAGCATTTGGTGCCTTTCAGGTGTGGGGTGGGCTTTCGGGACACCAAAGGCCCTGTGAAGACAGCTTTCTCTCTCCATCCTAAACCTAGCAAGATGGCTGAGTCCCAGTGTGGAAAACCCAAGTCTGCCAAATCAGATAGCCTTTAACCTCCCCACCGGTAAGGCTACACCTGTCTACCTCCATCTCTCCAACCAAAACAAAGCCTATAGTAAACCCCTGTATGATGCGCAGAGCCTTGGCTGGTGCTGAAATACCAATCCCCGGCTAGCTGGTCCTAGTCCATATGGAACAGCTGAGCCTGGCTGGGAAAGACTGGGCTCAAACAGTGTCTCAGCCTCACACACCACCAGCCTCCTGCAGCACACTTCCCTGTGCCGGGACCTTGCCTCTGGTGCTCCTTTCAGGGTTCCTCGGGCCCCAGCCCATGTGGCAGGAGCTGCTGCCTGACTCACATATGTCCTCCCAGCAGCCTCCTCTGGAAACAGCCTGAAGTCAGTGTGCCACTAGGGCACCACAGTCCCACCTGAAGGGTGCCACAACCAAAGCCCCCATAGCCCAGATGTCGAAGAGTAGAGCACTGGTCCTCTTCTACCCATAGGGATCTTTTCTGTTCTTTGCTCCCAAAGGTGCCCTGCTCACTTTAGGAAACCCCACCACTAGCTTTCCTATGTGCAAGGCTGGAGCTGGACCACCAATCCCACCTCCTTTCCCCAGTGATGAGCACCTGCCCAGGCTCAGGAAGTCATTTTGCTGCCAGCCTTGGCCAGACACAGCCACATGAGCCTCAGGATGGTGCCCCCTGCTGGGTGACCCAGTTGTCCTATGTGATGCTAGGCCATACCTACCACATCAATGAGCTGGGCAATGGATAGGCCGAAGCGGACGAGGACCACGTCTGAGATGTTGGCTACTGGTCGAGACCACTTGTTGTAGCCAGAGAAGAGTCTCTTTAGAAGCCGCTCCTCCGCATGGGCCCGGGTCTCCAAGTGACCGTTAGCTGCTGGGGGGACAGGAGGTTCAGGGGCAGGTAACCATAGAGGCTGCCCCTCCAGCCCCATGTCAGGCCACATTCTATCACAGTCCTTCCTTCTGATTCTTCACATGCATCACTTTCCACCTCAGAACCCAAGGGCACACTGCCACATGGGGAGCGGCATGCTCTGCCCTACCTCATACCTTGTTTTGACCCCCTCTCCTCAGAGAATCCTTCCCAGGTACCTCAAGCTAGGTCAAGCCCTCCTGCACCTCACCAGGAAACCAGACAACTGACACAATGAACACCAATTTGGAGACATCTCCCCTACAGACTTTGAAGTGTTCTATCTCTGGTGATCAGCAGAGACAAAGGACGCAAACTGACAGCGGTGTGGGGAGGGGAGCAGTAAGTGCAGGGAGTAGGGAGCAGCCAGGGTAAGGAGATGAAAGAAAGAGAACTGGACTCTGACTCAGAGCAGCTTCCCAGGGCTTCGGGGACCCCAAGCCACCATCCAGGGGAGCACTTCCTCCTGCCTGCCAATGCAAAGCCCATCTGGACAATGAGTGCAGACCCTCAGCACCACCAGCGCCGGTGTTCACCGACAGACACAGGACTCCCTGGATGTGCCCCACACTGCTGCCTGGGGGGGAGGGGAGTCCTTCATTCAGCCAGCCACCAGCCCACCTATGTCCTCTCCACTGTCCTCCCACGTGGTTTGGGGGCCTCCCTGCCTTCATTTGCTGGGTTGCTGCATCAAGGAGGGGGTTGGGAAGAGGAAGGGGAGCTTCTGCTGTTTGCTGGCTCCTGTTCACTTGAGAGCCACAGGAGCCCTTCGGGCAGGGACAGTCCTGGATCTGGGCTCTCCAGACCGTACCCACAACCCCCTCCCTCAACTTCATCCTTCCTGGTACCTTGGACCATCAGCAAGCCACAGCCCCACTGCTCAATGGGAAGGCCCGGGGTTAAATCGCTGCAGGAAGCCCCTGCATGGGTAGGGTGCAAGGCGGCTGCTAGAAGGATAGGAGGTGGAGGAAGCACCGGGAGCTGAAAGGGTGATGTGGGAGCTCCAGGGGCAGAGGCAGATCCCTGAAACTGGGAGCAGGCATGGGAGTCTGCTGGGAGGTTTGGCAGGATGCATCCCCCAAGATGGGCTCCCCTTCCCTCCAAGTTGGAGGTTCTGGTTCCAAGCCCGCACGTCCCCACTCAAATCCCGTCTCCCGGCACTTGGCATCTGATTTCTCCCTCACTGGCTTAGCCGGCGCCGCAGGATGGTCGGAGCCTGTCTTGGGTGCGGGAGTCTCTGTGACTACCCCATTGCGCGCACCCGCGGCTTTGGCACCGCGGCTGGGGCCTCCTTTCCTCTGGCTCCCGGATTCTGGATGTCAAGACCCGGGTGATAGAGGCTCAGTTCAGTGCCTCGAAACTTACCGGGCAAGAGGCCGGCTCCTAAGAGCAGTAGTAGCGGCGGCAGCGGCGGCAGCGGCGGCAGCGGCGGCGCCCCGGGGCCCCCGAGCTCCATGGCGCACCGAGCGGGTTCTAGCCGCGGGCCACTCCCGGCAGCGCCGCGCCTCCGCTCCGAGACCCGCGCGCTCCCAACTTCATGCCCCGCACCGCAGCCGCGCGTCTCCCGCCTGGCTCGGCAGCTCGTCCCTTGCGGGGCGGGAACGTGAGGTTGTGAGCTCCGCGGCGTGGCCCCGCCTGGACCTGCCGCCTCCAGCCGGAGGCTGGAGAGGAGGAGAAGGCGGATGTAGGAGGGAGGAGGGGGCGGACCGACCCCAAAAGGGACGTGGAGGCCGCGCTCCACCCGGCGCGGGCAAAGTTTCCTGGTTCTCCCGAGGCTCGGGATGTGCCGTATGGAACTGGGAAGCTGGTGGCCACACCGTATGACTGGACGATCCCAGCACTGACCCGACACGCGCCCCTCGACCCTCGTCTACGGCTCTCGCCCTGTCGCCAGCCTGAAAGGTGGGGGCTCGCATTCGGAGGATGTATGCTAAGGGCGCCCGGCTGGGCTCTGGCTAACTTCATCACCACACCCCGCCTTAGCGCGAATGTTTAGAGTTCGGAAATCACTGTCTCTTGTCTCCTTCCCCAGCCCGAAATGGACGAAAGAGCCCACTCATTCCCTATCAGCCTGCAGCCCATCTCCCGCCCATCTCCTGCCCCTCAAGCCCAGAAAACATCCTGTGATCCCGGTCCCGGCGCGCTGCCCTCCTAGGGAGAGAACAACCTGGTTCCCTGGCCCCTGAGTCGCGGGGGTGGGGGTGGGGGTCCTGGGACCAGGATCCACTGTTATCACTTCTGGGTATACAGATGACCCAGCTAGTCCGGTGAACTGAGCTGGTGTGAACTGAGCTCCCCGTCCCAGTTCTGTGAGCAGCCAGAGACTGGTCACAAATAACAGTACCACCTCCAAAGGCCAGATGTGGCCCAACGGTGTTCTGTCCCAGAAGATGGAGACACTCTTGAAGTTGGGGCAGGAATAAGCTGTCCCTGTCCCTGCGGCACACACCCCTCTGTTCCAGGTCGTGGTGGCTCTGGAACAGACTTGCTCTGCCGTCCCCATGACTCCCCCACCCTGCCCAGGTATACCTTCCACGGCCCAGCACCTACTTCTGCTCCTGTCCTCCCCCTGGTCTCTCCACCCTGCCCCCTTCCTCCTGCTGCAGTAGTGTTTCCTGCTTTCCCGCCCTCTGGCCTGTGTTGACCAGGTATGCCTCGGACACCTGGACCTTCAGGATCCTTTTGTATGCACAGGGCCTTCAGTAAGGGCTTCCAAAATGCTCACCTCCTGGCAGGCCAACGCACCAGCAGCCATTGCTTCCTTGAGGTGCCTTTCCAGATGCTGGCTCCAGCAGCGAGATTGTGTAGACAAGCTGGACTCCCACAGTACACCCAAAGACCAATGCTCACCTCATCTCTGTCTGATGTAAGAGGAAATGGATGCAGGAAGATTAAGTAACTTGCCAAATGTCGCACATCAAATAGTGGGATTCCAACACAGGCCATTGAGCTTCAGGGTCTGCTCCCTGGCCTCCGCCTCAGGTGGAACATCTCCAGGGGTTGCCCACCCCTATCTTTCTGGAGTCTTTCTGGAACCATGAGAAACCTGGCTCCCCAATATCTCCACGGGACTATTGCCTCTTTTGGTACCTACTTAGCTCGTCTTCACCAACCCAGTTCCCCAAGGAGGTAGACCCTGGTTTGCTCTTCATATGGTCATTAACCTCATCTGTCTAAGAGCTGAGCGTTCCCAAGCAGTCTGCAGGCTTGGACCGATAACTACCTGTGGTAAGCACTGTCTGTGGGGCAGAGAGCAACCCTGTGCTAAGCCTGGCATGTTGGACCCTTAGAGAACTAGGGAAGGCAAAGCTGATGGCACCTAGTGGGAAAGCTGCTGCTGGGTCTACGGCCATGTTGTGACACCCCTGCTTCATACCATCATGGAGCAAAAGCAGTACCTTATGTGACAGTGAGCAGAACAAAACCTGTTCTTTTATTACCAGAGGCCAAAGCTAGGTGCACTCCAGAGGCTGAGGTAGGATCGCCATGAGTTCAAGGCCAGTCTAGTGTAGATAGTGAGTTTCAGGCCAGTATGGACTACACAGTAAGACATACATACATATCATAAGGAAAAGTCTCTTCTGGCCACTGTGCGACTCTGTGATTAGGGGCTGTCATTCTGACCCGGCCATGGACTAGTGCTCTACTGACTGAATGACCCGCACTTTGCCTCCCAGGTTCAGGATGAGGGCCCTGTACCCCACCCCACTGCAAACCGAAACTTCCTTTGGAGCAAGGTTGCTTTCCTCCCTCCCATCCTACGTCCAACCTATACTTTCATCCTTTGGCTGCCTTGAAGTTTGGCTTCCTTTGAATGTTGTCCTGGAGTCAGAGGGTTAGAGGAGTGTTGAGCTGGAAGAACCCTCAGAGGCTCTCTGAAGGAGGCACATAGGAGCACAGCATGTGCTGTGGCTCATAACAGGGGGATTTGTTTAGAGTACAGGCTCAGCACTCTCTCTAAGACTTTTGGTGAAACTTCAGATCTGTGAATTCTCCCAGCAGTCTCCAGACAACTCAAATGCCGGAGCCTCAAACCACATCTGAGCTGGAGCATGGCATATATTGGAGTGTGGTTCAGGACAAAGAGAACCAAGAGTTTGGGGGGTAGTTCGGCTCCATCACCTGTTCCCTTTGCTTTTTCTAGTGAGACCGATTTTGTGCCAAGCTTCCCAGGTTGAGTAGTCTGTGACCATGTCTCTCATTAGCAGTCAGTCTCTGCTGGGGTGAGAGACCAAGTTGGAGTCAGCTCCACCCTCAGGACACTGCTGACACAGCCCTGTGGGCAGCATGCACCAACTCACATCTGCCTGGTTGGTTGACTTTCCCTGTGGATTTGATAATGCAGCAGATTAATCAGTCTCCCTCATTAATTTGTAGGGCCCCTCCTACCCCACCTGCTGGCTGGAAAGCACTGCTGGGGACCTGGGAATCATGGCACTGAATGAGGCTCTTATCACAGGCCCCAGGGGGGCCAGTTTATAAGCCCATAGACACTCTGGGCAGAAGGCTGGGGTGACCCTGAGGCAAGGGCCTTTTGTTCCTGAGGGGGCAGAGGAGCAGGCCCTTGTATATGCTTCCCCAGCCATGTCACAGCCCTTTCCAGGATGCTGATACCCAACTGGACAGTAGTTACTGCAGATATGGGCCTCTGAGGGGACTGCCCCTCCCTCTCTCTGCCCTCTCCACCCTCTACCCTGTCCCAAGGACATTTCCATGGTAACCATCTGCTGGTATAAACAGGGATTCATATTAGACTGTGTCTGCTACACCCAGCCTCTATCCCACAAGGACGAGAGTCCAGGTGGGATGTTGTGAGCCTCACACACAGGCAGGACTGTTAGTGGGGCTAGGCATGTGTGTTGAATGCAGATGGAGGAATGAACACATGAAAGAGAAAGGGAGGAAGGGAAAGAGGGAAGAAGAGAGAAATGGTGGGACGGAACACCTGTCAAAGGTCCAGGGCCCTGTTCTGCAGCATCCAACCCTAACCCTGGACCAGGCTCAAGCAGGCAGAGAAAATTTGTGATGGGGATGGTCAAGGCTCAGGGGTGTTGGCTGAAGTGAGCAGCGGGGTGTGGGGAGGGGACCCAAAGCCAAGTCTGGCCAGGCAGGAGCAGAGATATTGGGACCTGGAGGGCTCAGAGTGTCCACTCTCACCCCCCCTCCTCACCAATGAGTGGTCACAAGTCCATGGTGTAGTCTTACTGGGCCTGGCTAGGCCTCCTACCCTCCTCTGAGCAAAAGTCATCCTGCCCTCTGGATGCCCCAAGTTCTGTTCTTAGACCAAGACACCAGCAATTGCTCCAAGTTCTAGTCATGCCCTGAAACAGAGGGGGCAGGTCATAGGCTGGGCTTGGTGCCACGGTGGCAGCTCCAGGCCTGGGAATCCTTTGACACCCTGCAGTCTGGCTCAGGAGTAGGTGGGTAAGAGGACATGTTTTCCAGCAGCTCTAACAGGTATTCTTTCTGCCAGGACACTGGCTAGAACCTGAAAGCCATGCTCCTTGTTTCAGGAGCCCAAGGACCTCCTCCCTCACCTGATTTCCTGTTGGTGGCTCCTTTTTGCCAATGGGCTATTGATCTGCAGGGCCCCAGGGCAGTTAGTACTCTGCCCACCCCCCTACACTGGCACCTCTGCACTCAATAATTGTCTATAAACACTCTAAGGAGAGCTCCAGCTTCAGGGAGCACTGGAGTGATAAATGAGAGTGATCTCCCCGCTGGCTCCAAGTCTTGCTGTTGGCCCAGGGACAATGCAGTGGATGGCAGCCAGAGCTGATTTAAAACCCCTCTGCCACTCTTGCTTAGTGACCTCAGGTAAGTCATTCATCTCCCTGAGACCAGGTTTCCTCAGTTGTTGAATGGAATGGTGATGGTCCTATGTCATTAGTGCTGTGGGGAAGGTAGTGAGGGCCAGGCTTCTGGTACCTGGCATGCTTAGCACTTGAATCATCCTGGAAATTTTGTGTTCTCAGGGAAAGATCCCAGTGCTTCTGTCCATGGGCCACACCCCAAGGACCTTCAGAGTCCAGAAGTGGAATCCGTGGCACAGACCAGGTAATGGCACAACCCAGAGGGGTGGTCCCTGTCACCTGGCCTGTACCTCCTCACATATGGGCCCAGGGCTGAGGAGCATCATCCATAACCCACTTCAGGGGTGACAGTCCCACTCAGTCTCTGCCCCTGGCAACCAGAGCCCAGGTTTCTCAACACCTATTGATTCCCAGTCCTGGGATACAGTCTGGGTCCCAAAGTTGGCCGTGAGGCAAGTGGTAAGTCTCAGGCTTTTCGAGAACTTTGTCCTGAAAGACCAGAGACATAGAAAAGTCCTTTGTCCCTGCCAGCTGGCTGCCTGGGAATGATTTCCAACTGGAGCTCCTCAGAAGCTACCTCTGTGCAGGATGGATGCAGCTCCAGCCCAGAGGGATGCAGACCAGAGGACAAGAGGCCCTAGCCACAGTTTCCCTACAGAGGATGCGGGGGAGGGGCAGCTTCTGAATCTCTCTGTGCCTGGCAGCTGCTTGGCCAGGGATTAAGTGACCCTCCCAGAAGGATCTGAGGTCCTTCCTGTAAATTCTCCTTCTTTACCTTCCAGTCACCTTGTCCTCTCATTCCTCCAAGCCCTGCCGG